TTTTTTTCTTCAGAAAGGTCATGCGTTCTGATGTAGTTGCCATGGAACGTCGAGAACGAGTCGCTCGGGTTGTGGCTGTGTTGAAAACTACAAGTCATCATGGATTTCCAGTTGTGGATAGGATTGAAGAATCAGCATATTCGAGTCTTCCGGACTATGGTCATCTAAAAGGCATGATTCTACGATCTCAGCTCATTACTCTGCTAGAAAAAAGGGTGCGTATCTGGGATAATTTTTATGGAATCATAAACCACCTTTATTTTGTTCTTGTGACATACTCGCTCGGCAACTCTCGTATTTGTCAAATTTGCAGGTTTTCTATTCTGAACTGGACGGCTTTGAAGGAATTGAAAGAATGGGTACTGTCAAGCTCAGTGACTTTTTCGACGAAGACGTGTGAGTCAAATATTCTCAAAAGTATTATCTAGACTATGTACCACTAAAAGTGACCTATCTTGATTTCAGACAGCAAGACAAGCCTGTGGAGTCACTGGGATTGTCCGCGTCGGATGAGCAGTGCTGGATGGATCTTGAGCCGTATATTCATCCTCACCCGCATCGAGTTCCTTTGAATGCTTCCTTACCCTTCATCTTCCAGCTTTTCCGAGGTCTTGGATTGCGGTATCTGCCCGTTGTGAACGATGAGAATAGGGTTAGCACGTCTTCTTGATGTAGCCTATATTTAATGTTTCTTTTTGTAGCTCCGCGGAATTATCACGAGGAAGGACGTTGCTAGGTTCCGTGAACGACGATTTAACAGGAAATACCAGGTTCAAGAGCTGTACATAGCGGAAGATAGGTCCAGCTGACCTACTGCTTTGGTTTAATATTCTGTGTCAAACTGGTTATCTTCAATACGTGGAGTTATACCTATGGGTGAATTTATACTGAATTAGTATTCGCTAGTCTTCATTGCCTATCCACATGCAATAGCTACCTGCTCTAGAACTTGTAGAAGCTTTGTTTCGGTTGATGCCGTCATTGTGATAATTTTTTTGTGATTTGTTATCTCATCTTGTCTCCGTTGCAGTGCTACTTTGTCTACTATCGAACTCTGAATAAACTTTACTGCCTCTGCGGTAGCTTTTTTTCCTGGATAAGCAAACCACTGTATCT